GAAACGTTGGCCGTAATAATTATTTCCAACTACAAACCTCGAGGCAGAAGTAAAAACTAACGATTTGAAGAACAACAGACATGCCGAGGTTCAAAGATGAGAGGACTTGGAATTTGATGCAAAACGTGCAGCCGAAATTGTTCTCTCTGGTGCGCAAAGCGCTCTCGCTTCGACAGAAAGTGCTCGCCACCCGCCACTCCCTGAAGTGTTGTTACAATTTTCTTAAGGTTGCGAAGCAACAATAAAAGTAGATCGTAATCAGGAAAGCTCTTGTGGCAAGGGTATTCAACGGTGAAATCATTTCTGCCAGTTTGCTCTTGATTAACTCCAAAATTGGCATCTCTGAAATACGTACAGAATATAATGGCAGGAATTTCATTCATTGAGCTATAAAGGAAAGGGATCGGTAGGTTGCGATATTTAAGGCTATTACAATTACAATTATCATATGATGAGTACCCCGACAAGGTCCATTATGAAAGGGATCTCATGCTTATTGAGATATTAGAGGCTACTTCGAAGGATCGAAAATTCCAAAGGTTTCCGAAGAATAACTAACCTGTTCCCCTTACGTGGTTCTGCCTTAGGATGAATTTTACTCATCATGGGTAAGAACAACTTAATCATTTTGTTATCTGTAGCGCTGCTTAGTACAAACGACGAAAAAACACATAGATCATAACAACTCTCTAAAAGCGCTAAATAAAAATCATATCATGATCACAGGTGCTGCTTCCTAGGGAACTGAACCCCTAGCGAATGTCAAGCGGTAGGATTCATGAAACTCGATCGAATATCACCATAGTAATATGAAGATCGTTGAGCAATCTTCCCAGGTTTCATTTACAGACTCATTAGGGCCGTTATCATTGTTGTGAGTGCTTCGTCTGCCTTTTGGGCCTGGGCTCTCATTGGTTAACTGAGCAATCTCCTGATCACTGCAGAGCACATCTATTTCCTTTGCTGTTCCTGGTTTTAATCATATTATTGAAAACAGTTCGGCCATATTGTTTACGGGATGAGTTAAATAATGTAGATGATGGTTCGAGATAAAGGAATACTCGATTAATACTTTGGAACAGTATTCGTGCTTGTAATGATAAAACAAGCGGCATGCAATCAACAGAGATGCATTTTTTCCCTAATTTAACATTACTTTCTAGATTACGAATCCTCCAGTGAAGGTGAGTAATCCTCATCTTAGCAGTTCATTCCAAAAGTGACCAGTCAGAATGGATCCCATACATATTCATCCGAAGACGCCCCCCATTATACGTTTCATTGCCTGAATGTTTCCTACAATTAGACAAGAGTCTTTCCCACTTTTTTTGACTTCAACCTTTACGTTTCAGGCTCTCGGTGGTGGAGGACATAACGTACATATTCACATATGCATATAAAAGTTAAAGGATAAAATATTTGGCGTTAATCAATCCCGTCTGAGGGGTGCGCCCCCGCACTCGACTTCCATTCAGAATCGTAGTGGCGTAATGAGTGCGTATGTGGCCTATACAATGACTGGCATATACAGTAC